TCTTCCCCTTTCGAAGACATACTGCCGTTTAAAGTGACTCCCGTCCATCGATTGGCTTCAACCCCTTCAGTTCGCCTACCTTCATTAGATATTCCAATTATGCTCCTTGTAGTAAACGCTCAATAATTCAATTCGTGTGAACGTAAAGAATTCTATTATAGTCAATACATACGGGAACACATTTATCGAGTTTTATACATTTCTCCCCTTTATCGGACAAATTGTACGCGATTAAACACCTGCATCTCTTTCCAACAATTATATTCATTATCTTATATCCTTTCTTTACATCGCATATTAACTTCATCCCTTCTCCCTAAGCGCATGCGCTTCGCGAACTCGCCCCTCCTTATCGTCTTCTTCAACCGCAGTTCATTTTTGTCTCTCGAACATGACGGACCTGTCATGTACCTCAGCAAACAAGTGTCCAAATAATTCGTTGACGTGTCAGTGTTATATTCGTATCATTTGTCGACTGAATAAGAGCCTACAGATATCTCACTGCTGTGTTAATAGCTGTTGAAATAATTAATCGTTTCTTAAGCCAACATACAGGTTGAATTAAAACAGGCCGTTTCAATGATTTGGTAATTTTTTCTTTTCTAATAGAAATCTTCAAGACAAATTTGCAATTTTATGTAAATTATTATTTATTCACGTTTACGTTCTCTAATGTTCATTTAAAAAATTATATATTTGTACAGAATACACGTACATCAGATGAAACAACAATAAAAAAAAACAGTCTCTAAGTTATTTCGTCGATATTTTTACTTTACATGGTACGATTAACATTTGACGAAAGAAAGTTCCCCGTTTTTTTCTGCACTTAGATGCATATTTTTATTCTACAATCAAAAAAGGTTTAATAATTTGAAATGAGTCTGACAATGTCTGGTAAATGAAAAAAAAATTAAATACTAAACTTTTTCTTTAAAAAGATATAAATTTTATATTCAATAATTTTCTTTTTTAGATCTTTTTGGAATCAAGTTATTTTCATTAAATTATTCAAACGGACAAACAATTTACATACACTACCGTGCACGTACACACACACACATATATATACATACATACATACATACATATATATATATACAGTGCCATGAAAAAAGGGTCCAACAATGAGTCATGCATTTTAATAGTCGCATAAAATAGCCACATTTTAATTAAACAATTCCAAATTTTTACCAATACTATTTTTATTGAAACAATTCTTACTTTTACTAATACTTCCATTATAAATAATTAATTTGTGAATAAATCAATCATCAAGAGTAACAATAATTACACGTAAAAAATACTATCAACATCGGGAGTAATATTAATTCAATCATGTGATTTGAAGCTACAAAACTTATCAGTTTTACGCCATTCGTACAACAATCTATAATGATCAAATGTCACATGGTATTTTCTTCGTATAAATTCATTGCAAATTATATAATACCATAGCGAAAGAAAATGACTTCTGGATGAACTATAAAGAATGATTTCAATCAGTATAATAGCATTTAGTAAACATCGTATCATACATCTAACTCAAGAAAAATATTCACCTCAGTAAATAGTTGGTGAGAGACTACCATTGTTCCCTTCCATGACAAATTGCACACCACCGTACTCCTCATTATCAAAAATAGTATTGTTTTTTGAGTTTTCAATGATAACGAATAAAACGGAATTTGACATCTGTAAAAATTCATTAGTCTTATATAACAAACATATATTTGAGAATTGGACGAAAAATAGAAAGTAATACTGAGTTGTAATTCGTGCGATTTCGTACAACATGCAAAGGACATATGTTTTCTTTTCCATTTTAGAAATACATCTAAGACACAATAATCCATTCTATTATGAATATCGTTAATTTAAAGACACGAATTTCTCATGCAAACTGATATTCATACAGGATGCATTATACCATGTATTGGTGAAATATAACTCGTTTGTAAATTATTTGGACACATCAACATACATTCCACTGAAGAATTTGTAGGAGAAAATTTTTTGGTTGTCCTATCAATGACATAATCTTCTCCGATCCACTATTCAAATGATATGCGACAGCTTCGATGGCTTTTAAGGCCACGATTAAACTCATAAAGGAAATAAATATCGTCGCATATGTCCATATTCGTAAACTTGGCGCTTATAATCCTTTTTCTTTAAATTAGTAATGTACTATTATAGACACATGAGGAAAAGATAAACATCCAGTGGTATAATGGTCAACTTTTGCGACATATATTAAATTCGATATGAAAACTGCACGAAATTATAGACGCAATATTCAACATATATACTTACAACGTCACAAATAAGTAGTTGCTGTGATCTATTAATTTTTGTCCAAGATAAAAGTAAGCGAAAATTACGAACATAGATCCAATAACATATAACGACTTTGTTAAACAATCACTCTTGTTTACTGTAGAAGAAATTAACTGAAATAACTGTCAAGAAATGTTTCTTATAATCTCATGATTTATCCGGATAACGATATTTTTAAAATTTAACATTATTTTTTTTGACCAAACATTTTGCTTACGTAAAAATAATCTATCATGATGATAAGCATTGCCAAAAACCCTTCGAACAGTCTAGTTGTCTCGTAAAACAATTTTATTAAATCGACAAATCTTGAAATGAGTCAAAAGAAAACAAAACGTGAATAATTATAATATTATAATAGCATTTGCAAATGGTGAAAATAATTAACAGGAAGATTTGTATAATGCGATACAAACTCGATGACGAACTTATAGTACTCTATGATATTGACAATCCACTCGTCCTCATCTAATAAATTATCATTCCTATTGTTGCAATAAAAATCATTTCGATTATATTTAAATCTATCATTTATTCTCCATCTGTATTAAATCAAAAATGTTCCAAGTTGCATATACTCATTTGAAAATTGTAAATTTCAGCACGATAATCATTTTGATTGTTTACTTACACGACGATATTAAACAGTGCGCAAGCATGCAGTATTGCTGCAACAAACATCGTATAGTTCGCAATCGCTACGGTGCATAGAATGATTATTACTGCGTACTGAATGCAAAGAGCAAAATAGTAACCTACACGATGTTTCATAAAATGATCAAAACGAACGGGTAAAATTAATTCATTGTAGCTTACTACACCAAAAATGTACTGAATTAAACGTTGAAGTGATGGAAATATCAAAAATCCAATGTACAAATAAAAGGAGACTGAAAATACGAAAGGACAAATATATATTAATACTTAACATTATTATAATCATCGCATACTAATTTACATACTTATGTTTCCAATGGTACACATTCTACTTATATTAGCATACTCTTTCAGTATAAATAATTCCCGCTTGTTTGCAAGTTTCTTCCAATCGCAATCTATACGACGAAGAATTTTCTTCATCTGAAATTTGTACACGTGCAGATGTTAAATTGATCCTTTAAACGAAAAGGAGTGCGTATTCTTCATAATTGAATAAATAAAAGAACTGCAGCTTTTAATGAAGTACGAACAATAGCACCATTCCATAATAAATTGTAGTAGCATGATCCGAAACACAATGTAATCAAGGTCGTCTCCAATAATTTAGCAATTGCATTTAATTCTCCTTTTATCAAGAAAATCACATAAATCTAAAGTAAGAAAAATCTTTGATATTATTTCTATTCAACAAACAGGATAACACATTTGGATGTTATTCTGCCAATATAAATTTTATTTCATTCGAAGAAATAATGAAATACTTAATTAACCAGAAATAATATAAATGACGCTTACCTGTTCAAACAACGCAATTATTATTATAAAATTGAGGAAACCAACGTAAAACAATTTTTTCAACGATATCTTATCTTCCCATAAGCCTATCAATCGAAATAACCATCGATTGTAAGTATAGTACTCGTTGTCTAGATAGTCTTCACCTTCCGAAGACATACTGCCGTCTAAAGTGACTCTCGTCCATCGATTGGCTTCAACCCCTTCAGTTCGCCTACCTTCATTAAGTATTCCAATTATGCTCCTTATAGTAATCGCTCAATAATTCAAATTCGTGTGAACGTAAAGAATTCTATTGAAGTCAATACATACGGGACACACGTTTATCGAGTTTTATACATTTCTCCCCTTTTATCGGACAAATTGTACACAATTAAATACCTGCATCCCTTTCCAACAATTACATCATTATCTTATACCCTTTCTTTACATCGCATATTACTTCATCCCTTTGCCCTAAGCGCATGCGCTTCGCGAACTCGCCCCTCCTTATCGTCCTCTTCGACCGCAGTTCACTTTTGTCTCTCGAACATGACGGACCTGTCATGTATCTCAGCAAACAAGTGTCCAAATAATTCTTTGACGTGTCAGTGTTATATTCGTATCATTTGACAACTGTACAAGAGCCTACAAATATTTACTCCGATGTTAATAGCTGTTTAAATAATTAACCGTTGTTTCTTAAGCCAACATACAAGTTGAATTAAAACAGGCCGCTTCAATGATTTGGTAATTTTTTCTTTTCTAATAGAAATGTTCAAGACAAATTTGCAATTTTATGTAAATTATTATTTATTCACAGTTACGTTCTTTAATGTTCATTTAAAAAGAATCGATTTGTATAAAATATATGTACATTAGATTAAAGAACAAATATACATTATCTAAGTTATTTCGTCAAAATATTTATTTAAGATTATGCCAATAATTGGTCATATTGGTCAATGGTAAGATTCTTGTTTTGTCTCGTCAAATAATTTTTCAATTAAAAACATATTTTTATTTTACAAAAAAATGAAGTTTAATAGTTTGACATGAGTCTAAAAATGTCCTGCTAAAGAATAGTATATTAAATACTACAATTTATTCTTTAAAAAGATAAAAATTTTCATATGTGTACACATTTTACATATACAAGCATACGCGCACATACACATACAGATATATATATATATATACACACACATATATATACAGTTTGCGAAAGGGTTTAACAATGAGTCATGCATTTTAATAATCGCATAAGATAACCTCATTGCATAATGATTGTATCAAATTTTATTTTAACATTTCCTTCTTCAACTTATTGTTATATTAAAATTAATTAATTTGCAAATAAATTAGCTATCGATAATAAGATTTCTTATCAGTAAAAAATATTACCATGACAGAGAGTAGTTCGTTTAGAAAAATTATTTATTCACGTAATTTGAAAACAACAAATATATAACAGTTTTATGGTATTCTTATAATACTGTATAATGATCAAATGTCACATGGTATTTTCTTCGTATAAATTCATTGCAAATTATAGAATACCATAGCAAAAGACAGTGACTTCTGGATGAACTATAAAGAAAGATATCAATCAGTAAAAAATATTTAATAAAGATCGTACCATATATCTAACTGAAGAAAATCATTCACCACTGTAAATAGATTGTGAGAGAATACTATTGTACCCTTCCATGATAAATTGCATACTATCATGCTCCTCATTATCAAAAATAGTATTAATTTTTGTGTCTTCAATGATAACGAATAAAATGGAATTTGACATCTGTAAAAATTCATTAATCACATATAATACGAATATTTGAAAATTCGACAAAAAAATAGAAAGGTATTACTGAGTAGAAATTCGTTGCGATTTCGTACAAAATGAAAATGACGTATCATTTTTTTTTTCTATTTTAATAAAACATCTAATATCCAATAATCTATTCTATGTTGACCATCGTTAATTTAACGATACGAATTTTTCCTTCAAACTGAAATTTAAAATTAGAATGCGTAATTTCACGCAATTGTTGAAACGAAACTCCTTTGAAAACAATTCGAACGCATCGATATACGTGCAACAGAAAAATATATAAGAAAATATTATTTTTGATTTACTATATTTATAGTATTATCTTTTTCAATAAACGATACAAACGTCGTGCGACAGATTCGACAATATTTAGGGCCAACTTTTAAACTCATACAGAAACGAATAAATATCGTAGCATATGTTCATTTTTTTAAACTTGACACTCACAATCCTTTCCTAATTTTTTAATTAATACTAACACATGACGAAAAGATAAACAAATGCGATCGAATGATATAATAATCAATTTTTGCAAAAACATATATTCAATTCTATATGAAAATTGTATGAAATGGTTTATACAGTATACAAGTAAAATTACTTACATTGTTACAAATACGTAATTATTGTGATCTATTAATTGTTGTCCAAGATGAAAGTAAACAAAAATTACGGACATAGATCCAATAACGTATAATAATTTTTTCAAACCGTCGGTCTTGTTTACGTCAGAAGTAAGTAATTGAAATAACTAAAAAAAGAAATTATCCATTCTATATCTCTATTTAAGGTAACGGGAATATATATTTGAAAAATTCAACACTTGTTTTTTTTTTTTTTTTTTTTTTTTTCTTTTTGTTTACCAATCATTTGGCTTACGTAAAAGTAATCTATCATGGTGATTAGCATAGCGAAAAATCCTTCGAATATATTAATTCCTTCGTAAAATAATTTTATTAAATCGACCAGTCTTGAAAGTAATCGTAATAAAACAAAGATAAATTATTATTATTATTAATAATTATATGTGCAAATTATATAAATATTGGATCGTTCGGAAAGTTATTTCGAATTTTTTTTTTTTTTCTTGTGAAAATGAAAGACAATTATCGTATAATGAACAAATATTTTATTAAATTATACATTGGCCATTCTGATTCAATATCTTTTGCCATCTCTCTGGTAGTAGCATGATTCTACGCTCATCAAAATTTTTGATCTTTGCTGGCAAAAAACTGATCGAGATGGTTTTTGACTTTCTTATTTGAAGTGAAGGTTTTACCGTCTAAAAAATTTTACAGTGACCAGAACAAATAATAATCCGAAGATGCCAGATCTGGAGAATATGGTGGATGTGACATTGTATCCCATTCAAGCTGTAAAAGCTTTTGGCGAGAGATCAAACTTGTATGAGGTCTTGCATTATCTTCGAGGAACACTATACCTTTTCTATTGATTAATTCTGGCCTTTTCCGTTGAACTGCATCATTCAGTTTGTCCAGCTGATGACAGTAGACTTCCGAATTAATTGTTGTGTTATACGGTAAAATCTCAAAAAAAAAAACGATTCCTTTAAAATCCCACCAAACAGACAGCATCACCTTTTTTTTGATGGATATTGGCTTTGGAAATGCTTTGAGCCGGTTTATCTTTTTTGCTCCATGATCTCTTGCGTTTGACATTGTTATATACAACCCATTTTTCGTCCCCAATAATGATGCGCTTCAAAAATGAATCATTTTCGTGACGTTTAAGAAGCGAATCACAGACGTCAACGGGACGACACAAATTTCTCTCAGTGAGAACATGGGGAACTCATATATCGAGCTTCGGGGTTAAAACCAGGCCTTTCAAGTGGTCATAAACAGTTGAATTTGATAAATTTAACCTCTCATCGATCTCACGTGTTGTTATTCGCCGGTTTGCATCAACTAATGCCTTTATCGTATCTTTATCAGCTTCAATCGGCCTTCCAAAACGTGGTGCATCTTCGACATGAAAATTGCCGGATCGAAATTTTGCAAACCAGTTCTGGCACTGGCGTACTGTCAACATATCCTCTCCATACACATCGGTTCATTTCTTTCTGGCTTGAACAGCATTTTTACCTTTTCTATAGTAAAAAAAAAGTAAAATATGACGAAAATGCTGCTTATTGCTCTCCATATTTAAAAGGGCACCAACCAAAAACTACTGCGTAGAATCAATTAGACTTTTTCACACACAAGCCTTGCTATATCAGCTCTCAAAACATATAATGATTATGCGACTTAAGTGTGCAGTTAAGTGCAAAATAATACAATTAATTCCTTTGTCGGGAAAAAAAACCAAATGACTTTCCGAACGATTCAATAATTAACAATATAAGATTTTTATAACGCGATACAAACTCTATGACGGATTTGTAGAATTTGATGATATCGACGATCCATTCATTCTCATCTAATAATTTATCATTCTCATTGTTACCATAAAAATTATTTCGATTATCTTTAAATCTATCATTTATCCTCCATCTGTATTAAATCAAATGTATTTCGAGTTTTACATATATTCAATTGAAAATTTTTCACTTTCAGTATGATAATCATTTTAATCGTTTACTTACACTACGACATTAAATAATGCACAAGCATGCAATATTACTGCAATAAACATCGTATAATTCCCAATTGCTACTGTGCATAGGAAAATTATTGCTGCGCACTGAGTCCAAAGGCCAAAATAATAAACAATATGATTTTTCATAAAATATTCAAAATGAACGGGTAAAATTAATTCATTGTAACTTATTACACCAAAGATGTACTGTATGAAACTTTGAAATGATGGAAATATCAAAAATCCCATATACATGTAAAAGGAGACTGAAAATATGAAAGGACAAGTACATATTTATATTTAACATTATTACTATTATCGCATACTAATTCATAATTCACATACTTATGTTTCCAATGGTACACATTCTACTTATATTAGCATACTCTTTTAATATTATTAATTCCTGTTTGTTCGCAAATTCCAACCAATCGCAATCTATACGACGAAGAATTTTCTTCATCTGAAATTTGTAAACGTGAAAGATGTTAAATTGTTCCTTAAAACGAAAAGAAGTATGTATCCTTAATAATTGAATAAATAAAAAAAGAACTGGAGCTTTTAATGAAGTACGAACAATAATACTATTCGATAATAGATTGTAGTAGCATGATCCGAAACACAATGTAATCAAGGTCGTTTCCAATAATTTAGCAATTGCATTTAATTCTCCTTTTAACGTGAAAATCCCATAAATCTAAAGTATGAAAAATCTTTGATATTATTTCTATTCAACAAACAGGATAACACATTTCGATTTTATTATGTCAATATAAATTTTTATTTCATTCGAAAAAATAATTAAATACTTAATTAATCAGAAATAAAATAAATGACGCTTACGTGTTCGAATACCGCAATGATTATTATAAAATTGAGGAAACAAATGTAAATGAATTTCTTCAATGATACCTTATCTTCCCATAATCCAATCAATCGAAATAATCGTCGATTGTAAATATAGTACTCGTTGTCGAGATAGTCTTCACCTTTCGAGGTCATACTGTCGTCTAAAGTGACTCCCGTCTATCGATTGACTTCAACCCCTTAAGTTTGCTTACCTTCATTAAGTATTCCAATTATGCTCCTTATAGTAATCGCTCAATAATTCAAATTCGTGTGAACGTAAAGAATTCTATTAAAGTCAATACATACGGGACACACGTTTATCGAGTTTTAGACATTTTTACCCTTTTATCGAACAAATTATACGCAATTAAACACCTGCATCCCTTTCCAATGATTATATCATTATCTTATAGCCTTTCTTTACATCGCATATTACTTCATCCCTTCTCCCTAAGCGCATGCGCTTTACGAACTCATCCCCATCTTATCGTTTTCTTCGGTCGCAGTTTACTTTTGTCTCTCGAACATAAACGATACTTGTAATTTACTTCATCAAAATTTATCTGTAAAATTCGTGTAAGTAATTAACGATTACAAAATTTTATTCGTATCATTTATATTCTTAGATGGGATATAAAAATATTCATTGTGACTGGTCAATGAATATTTATATAATTAATCGTTCTTTAATTAAATCTTACGATCGTATTGTATTAATCAATTACAAGATGTCGGATTGATTTGATTTTCTTTTTTTTTTTCTTTTTTGGATTCTTTGATAAATATAATCAGGGAAAAAAATTGCACTCTCGTGAAATTTTATTATTTATTTTAAATCATGTTCGTTAAAGTTTATTTAAAAAAAGGGAATGTATTTTTAGTTGAAATTAAATTAGATCAATTGGATTTATGAAAAGACATTGTCTACGATATTTTCATATTTATTTTTATATTATAATTTTATCAAATTTCTTTTCTTTCTTTCTTTTTTTTTTTTTTTTCTTTTTGAGATGAAAGCTGATACAAAAATTGATCGATTTAATTGATTACTCTTTTTCTATTTTTTTTTTTTCTTTTTCTTTTTCGTAGAATAAGATTTTGCAATGAGAGGCATTATTTAATCGAAATTATATTCGCCATTTTATGTACTGCGTTTTTTTTTCTTTTTTTCTTTTTTTATTTATTTATTTATTTATTTATACTCTTCATTTATACTCCTGTAAATATATATATATATATATTTTTTTTTTTAATTATTATTTAATCGAAATTCCATGGTTAAATTCTGTTTTCTTTCTATTTTTTATTTATACTTTTTACTCATGCCATTGCGTATAGACACACACACAGACAGAAACACGTATGTATTACGTTGGAAACTATGAAACAGGCGTTTTTATTTAGTTATTTATTTTCATTCAACGACCGTATCATAGTTTCCAATCTAATATATAAGTATTGGGTTGGAAACTATGAAACGAGCGTTTTTGTTTAGTTATTTATTTTCATTCAACGACCGTTTCATAGTTTCCAACCTAATATATATATATATATATACATATACGTGTATGAAAGAAATTGTCTATATTAATTTATTTTATTAAATATCTTTTTGTTTATAATACCTAAAATACATACATACATACATACATACATATATATTTTTTTAATTATTATTTGATGAAAGTTATATTGCCAAGGTTACATTCTGTGTATACATCTTTTTTTCTTTTTTTTTTTTTTTTAAACAGCCAGATCTAAGAAACAGCTTCGTGCAGATAGAGAAAGGAAACTTTTCGATCGAACCAAAGAAGAAATTCTGTATTTCTTTTTTTTTTCTTTTTTTCTTTTTTCTTGACTTTTAATCATTATTTCATCGTAATTATATTCCTAATGTTACATTCATTATTTACACGTGCATGTACGTATATACGTATTTATTCATAATTCTTTTCTCTTCTTCTCTCTCTCTCTCTTACCAACACACACACACACACACACACACACAGAGAGACACATATATACGCAGCATACGCAGCATACGTACGCACACACACATACACACACACACAAACGGACGATAGAAACACAAATACGTAAATACGTTCGTACACAATGTATGCGCAAACGCATTTACAGACATTTACGGACGCTTACAAAATACGTGTGAAGAAAAAAAAAAAAAAAAGAAAAAAGGAAAAAAAGAAAAGAAAAAAAAAAAGAAAAGAAAAGAAAAAGAAAAAAAAAAGGGGGAAGTTCAACGCGTGCGATTTAAAATGGACGCTGGTTACCGGATTGTATTATATGCGATATCACACAAAGCCCGAGTTAACAATTTTCTTGAAGGAGCGACAACTCGTTTTAAATGCCAATAACGTCGTCGATGGCAATTGTCGATAATTCAAGGTAGTAGACGGTTCTCTTATATGTTAAGTGGGTGCGTGCGCGCGCGCGCGCGCGCGCCGAAATATCATCATTCGTTTCGATTTATCGATCTTCGTTCCTGATCGAAATATCACGAATATATTGTTTTGTCAACGAGATAAATAAATTGTTTTGTCTTTTCTTTTTTAATTTGTTTTTTTTTTCTTCTTCTTCTTCTTCTTCTACTTTTTTTTTTCTTTTTGTTTTTCTTTTCTTTTTTTTTTTTATTTTATTTTATTTTATTTTATTTTTCACTTCTTCATTTTTTCGTTTTCTTTTTTTTTCGTTTTCTTTCTTTCTTTTCTTCTTTTGATATACTCTTTTTCTTTTCCATCGTTACATTCATTCACTTCTTTTATTTCTTTTATTCTTATATTATTATTATTATTATTGTTATTATTATTATTATTATTACTGTTGTTATTATTATTGTTATTATTATTATTATTAATCCGTTAATCGTTAATTAATTTTCTTTAAAAATAAAGGAAGAAAATTTTTTCTTTTCTTTTTTTTTTTTGTTTTCTCTTTTTTATCTTCTTTTTTTTATGGGAATTCTTTTACGAAAAATATTTATTTCTCCTTTCCTTTTTTTTTTTTTATTTGCGTCGATTATATGTTATATATATATATATATATATATATATATATATATATTAATTGTGTTTTTACGATTGTTTATTAATTTTTTGTTTGTTTTTGTTTTTATTAGAAATGCAATTCATATCAAATAATTAAAAGATAATATTCGAATATGATTATGGAAATAAATAATAATTGAACTTTAATATAATTCTAATTTCGCGATATTCTTTCCTTTGAAAAAATTTGCTCTCTTCATTCATTTTTTTGGTTTTTCTTTTCTTTTTTTGTTTTTCTTTTCTTTTTCTTTTTTGTTTTTTTCTTTTCTTCTATTTTTTTTTATGGGAATTCTTTTACGAGAAATATATATTTTTCCTTTTCTTTTTTTTTTTTTTTTTATTTGTGTCGATTATATGTTATATATTAGATTTTGTATTGAGTACATATATATATATATATATATATATATATATATATATATATATATATATTAATTGTGCTTTTACGATTGTTTATTAATTTTTTTTATTGTTTTTGTTTTTATTAGAAATGCAATTCATATCAAATAATTAAAAGATAATATTCGAATATGATTATGGAAATAAATAATAATTGAATTTTAATATAATTCTAATTTCGCGATATTCGTTCGTTTGAAAAAATTTCCTTTCTTCATTCTTTTTTTTTTTTTGGTTTTTCTTTTCTTTCTTTGTTTTTCTTTTTTTCTTCCTTTATTCAATTTATTCACTATCTATTAATTAATTGTCACATTTACTTTTTTTATTATTAAATTTTATTCGGATTATTTAATCTTTTCCTTTTATTTCTTCTGCTACATTTTTTCCTCTCGCCACCCACCCCCCATCTTACTACATTCAATTATATAATTTTTACACAAAAATTACTGATTAACGTTTGTTTGAAAGGAAAAAAAAAAAAAAAAATAAAATAAAATAAAATAAAATAAAATAAAATGTTCCCTTTTCTTGCCTTTTATTTATGTACTTATTCATTCATTAATTCTCTTATATTTCTTTTTATTGAAATAAATTGGAAAATTTTTTATGCTTAATTAATTATTTATTTATTTTTTTTTTTTTTATTTATTTATTTATCTATTTATTTTCTCCATTCTCCTTTTTTTCTCTTTTTTTTTTCTCTTTATTCATCAATGCATTCCATTAATTCTTATATAAATATATATATATATATATATATTTTTTTATTATAAACTTTGCATCTACTTGTTTATTTATCTATTTATTCGTTTGTTTTCATTTTATTTTTGTTTTCTTTTTTTTTTTTCTTTTTATCAATTTATCAATCTATCCATTAATTCCGATTTATTTTCTATTTGTTATTACAAATTTTACTTCGCCCGTTAGCTTCTGCCTAATTTTTCTTTCTTTTCTTTTCTTTTCTTTTTTTTTTTTTTTTTTTTTTTTTTCTTCTAATAACTTCATCAACGCACGATATTTCCGATTCATCATAGATCTCATTATATTGAATTATTTTTATATTAATTTTTCTCATTGGATCTTTCATCCATTTTCTTCACTTTACTTCTATTTTTGTTTCTCTTTTTCGTTAATTTCATTTTCTTTTTTTTCTTTTTTTTTTCTTTTCTTCTTCTCTTTCATTTCTTTTTTTTTTTTTTACCAAAATCTTTGTTCCTTCATTCTTATCTATTCACGATTCATTTATTTATATATCTCTTTCGTATTCCTTCTTTTTAATTCCAGATTTTTCTCCTGCATTGCTATATACATATATATATATATATATATATATATATATATATATATATATATATATATTTTTCACAAATTTTTTTTTCTTCTTATCTATTCACGATTCATTTATTTATATATCTCTTTCGTATTCCTTCTTTTTAATTCCAGATTTTTCTCCTGCATTGCTATATACATACATATATATATATATATATATATATATATATATTTTTCACAAATTTTTTTTTTCTTCTTATCTATTCACGATTCATTTATTTATATATCTCTTTCGTATTCCTTCTTTTTAATTCCAGATTTTTCTCCTGCATTGCTATATACATACATATATATATATATATATTTTTCACAAATTCTTTTTTTCTTCTTATCTATTCACGATTCATTTATTTATATATCTCTTTCGTATTCCTTCTTTTTAATTCCAGATTTTTCTCCTGCATTGCTATATACATACATATATATATATATATATATATATATATATATATATATATATATATTTTCCACAAATTTTTTTTTTCTTCTTATCTATTCACGATTCATTTATTTATATATCTCTTTCGTATTCCTTCTTTTTAATTCCAGATTTTTCTCCTGCATTGCTATATACATACATATATATATATATATATTTTTCACAAATTCTTTTTTTCTTCTTATCTATTCACGATTCATTTATTTATATATCTCTTTCGTATTCCTTCTTTTTAATTCCAGATTTTTCTCCTGCATTGCTATATACATACATATATATATATATATATATATATATATATATATATTTTTCACAAATTTTTTTTTTCTTCTTATCTATTCACGATTCATTTATTTATATATCTCTTTCGTATTCCTTCTTTTTAATTCCAGATTTTTCTCCTGCATTTCTGTCTACACATATATATATATATATATATATATATATATATATATAATATAAACATTTATAATATATACATATATATATAAACATATATATATATATATAAACATATATATATATAAACATGCATACGTATATATATACATACATATATATACATGCAAACATATATGTACATACATATATATATATATGTATATATATATGTATATGAGTATAACGTTTATGGGTTTAGCGAGTAGACGGAAAGTTAGCGGTCTGATCGCGTCGCGAAGGGGTTTATCGATCGGACATTAGGCGATCGGCGCGATGTTATTGGCATGACGCGGCTCTGATTATTATGCGCGCCGCGATCAACGTCGGCCCCCGCCAAGCCTCCTTCTTTTTTTACAGACGTCTTTACATATTCATGCGCGTGCTATGTGTCGATCCGTCCGTTCCTTTACGTCCGTTAGTTCTCCATACGTAAGAAAGAAAGAGAGAGAGAGAAAGAGAGAGAGAAAGAGAGGGAGAGAAAGAGAGAGAGAAAGAGAGAGAGAGAGAGAAAGAGAGAGAGAGAGAGAGAGAGAGAGACGAG